GTGCAAAATGTCATTGTTACTGCTGAACCTACAATCTACAAAATTACATGTAATATGACCATGAATATACATATTTAACTGGGTGACACTGTATCTTTTAAAATGCCTACATACATGTGCACCTGGAAAATATCATATAGCTGGTTTGGTCTCCCAGGTGACTAAAACACATTTTATAACCTTCATGAAAATTCCTTGCTTTCTTCCTTTTCATTTTAAATTATCAGAAGGAAAAAAAAGAAATTACACAGACAACTATTATCCAATTAAACGAGCCCGACTGATGCTCTTAACACAGACATTACTTTTGTTGTTGTTGTTTGGAAACCATAGAAAAGAAATAGCAGCTATACAATTTCAAAAGTGCTGTCATTAGAGATATTTCAGCTGTTCATCCTACTCCTGTGGCTTTGGCTTTCACATCATGCATGCACTAAACAAGAGTAAGCAAAGACTGGATGGCGTCTTATTCACAATATAAATTGGGTGAAAGTATATAATCAAAGGGGCACTCTTTCATGTTGCTTTAAAAATCCAATCAAGTTTGCTTATAATTCAGATATGTGAGCACTGAGGTGATCAAGACAATTTACTGGGTAATAGTGTGACCATATAAAGAGACCAAATGGTGAAACTGTCTGGTCAGTGGCTTGGCCGGTACCATTTAGGAACCTGAGTGTGAGCATGACCTCAGGCTGATAGAGGCACTGGAAGCCTTTTGAAAGTGATGCTCTCATAAATTATGAGAATTGGATTCTTTTTGACATCCTACTTGCAGTTTAATACAGAGTCTCTTTTGAGACTCTTTGTTCGCCAGGCTGTAGGGCTGACAATACGAGAAGAGGAAACTTTACAGCCCAGACTGAAGGGAGGGCGAAAAATCCTATGAACCTGATATGCTCCTCTACTTAACTTCTAGGTATGGTGTATACCCTCACACAGGAGGCTTGTTTTGTTTGACTGTAGTAGGGGGAAATCCCTATTTCTTTTCCTCAGTTCTGATGCTCCTTCCACTTATTGTGCCAATATTAAAGTTAAGCAAAAATAAAGTCAGTTGTGTGATGAGATTCTCAGTCAAGAATCTACACTGACATAATTTAAAACAGTGGTTCTCAACCAGGGGTACATGTACCCTTTGGGGTACACAGAGATATATTACTGGGGGTGCTCAACTCATCTAGATCAGTGTTTCTCAACCTGGGGTTTGCAGTTCCCAGGGGGGGATCATAGATGGGTTTAGGGCGATTGCAAGTGTAGGGCTGGCATTAAGGGGTGGCAAGCAGGGCAACTGCCCGGGGCCACATGCCATAGGGAGCCCCATGAAGCTAAGTTACATGCTTCAACCCCACTGCCTGGGGCTTGGGCTTCAGACATGGCTCACAAGTGAAAAACAGACTCAAGAATCACATTGAAATATAAGTACAATATTTATATTCCAATCTTTTAATTTATAATTATATGGTGAAAATGAGAAAGTAAGCAATTTTTCAGTAATAGTGTGCTGGGACACTCTTGGAATTTTGTGTCTGATTTTAAGCAAGTAGTTGTTAAGTGAGGTGAAAACTTGGGGTACGCAAGACAAAAGTCAGATTCTTGAAAGGGGTACAGTAGTCTGGAAAAGTGAGGAACCACTGATGTCAAAGGTGTCATTAGAGAAGATTTGGACCAAAGGAGAACTGGGAGCCGGAATTGTGTGGCTCAGGCACAGCACCAGTTGTAAGGCAAAGAAGCCAAAACTGATCAAATTCAAAGTGTGGCAGACATGCCCACACATTCCATGTAGTACTTTCCTGTGAACTGTTCTGTTTCTATACTAGTATAAGTCTTCTTATGGTGATCTGTTCTGATGTTGATGTAAGCCAGGAGAGAATAAGGAACAAGGTCCATCTATGTATCTTTTGCTGATACCTTAACCCATCTTGGTTAAAGGGGTATGGCAAATATTTTCTAGTTCAGCACAGGACACAATGCAAAGGTAATAAACAATAGGGAGGAAGGGCAAAGGTTACAGGAATAAGATCACAGGGGAGCTAGATTGTCACTTGTTCTTATCCAGGAGTGAGTTGTGTCATCAGATTCTCAGTCAAGGAGCTAACCCCTTGCATGAGCTGTATAAGTGCGACTGCTGCCCGAACTGGAGCCCCTATGTCTATCAATGCACGTTAGCTGAATGCTTCTGCTAAAATATTAGCAGTTTAATAGTTAACAATCTAACCATTTCTTTAACTTGTCATTATTCGGTGTCTAACTTAACACATCATTGAAATTAATAGGTGCAATTCACATTTCTCAGAGCTATTCTGCAGACTCATTGGGTTCATATGTGGAAGGCTGTTTATGCAACTATAAGGGCTAGAAATGTAAGGTCAGATTATTTGCTAGTGTAAATTGGTGCAGCTCCATTGACATCAACATGCCCGCAACTGTTTAATCTAAATTTTAATTCTGCCACACAGTTTTGCAGCAATGGCTAGACTATGCAGAAAATCTTGGCTAAAGTGTTAGAATACATTGGACTCTGGTTATGCTTTGGAATCTAGATACTTAGGGCCCGTTGTCTTGCTTATGTTAAAGTCACTGGTAAAATCCTCGTTGACTTCAGTGTGAGCAGAATCAGGCCCTTAAGGCACACTCCTACTACTGCCTTGAGAAGCCATGAATTTTGATATATAGTTTTTCATTATGAAAGCCACTTTCTTCTTTGCCGTTGCACCCAGGTGAGTATCTGGCTCCAGGCCTTCATTTTAGGCTCTGTGACCTAGACATACAGTACTAACAGCACTATGAATTTGACATCTGCAGGCAGTAACTTGCACATGAGAATCACACAGCTGCAGATAATTTCATAAAATGTTATCTCAGAGAGTATCCGGTAGCTAGAGCTATATTGAAGGCTCCAAGACTTATGGGCCACAAACTTCAAGGAACTTTGGAAAGCTAAGCAATCAGGCAACAAAGATGCTATGTTGTACTTCAAACTCAGGAAATAAGAAAATGCCTTCAAAATGGTAGCTTGGAAATGTGGAAAATTACCCACAATCAGGAAAATGTAAAGCTTGTCTTTTCAGGATTATATTTGTTCCAGCTTAATGGACTGTACCTGGTATATATTAAAATGCTACTAAGAAGGCTATTGTAGTTAAGGAGAGGTCCACTGATTAATTATAAACACACATTTTTGAGGGGTATATAGCTTAGCCATTTAAAATCACATCAAGCTAAAGTTTGATATACAAGTGCTATGCCTGAATGAAATTCCCCTCCCCCCCGCCATCCCAAATTTAGTGTAAACCTGTTTAGTTGGTTTTTATTTCAGAAGAACTGTGAATAAAAAAAGAATTTATTTGGGGGCAGTTTAAATACTTTTAAAAAAGTAAATAAATGATTGCAAGCCATTTTCCCTTCATGCAGAGAAAGAGAAGGGCTCAAATCAATTTGATGAGTTACAGACAAGTTCACTCAGTTCAAAAAGCTATTTTTTATAGAGCATTCAGCAGCTAATTTTCATAACCCTTTCCAACATGGATTGCTGTCCCTAATGCATTGCACACATACTGTTCTCAGTTCTGCCCGTGTAGCTACCCGTTCAATTCTTGAAATTGAAAAAAAAATTGAAAAAATGGATTTGGCCCAGTGTGAACACATTGCAGAATCCCAGAGAAGAAAATGTAGCTTTACAGTTTAAAATTTACACAAACACTGTGGTGTGAAACATTTGTTCAGACTGGGTTTAAGGAGAATGCATTCTGTGGACAGGATGAATATGGCTCAAAATTCCATCCAAATGTTGAAAATGTAATACATACAAAGGATTGGTTCCACCCCAATCTGATGGACCAGAAAAAATGTCAGTGAAGAAGAGTCTGTATGGGTAGTTGTAGGGGAACTGACATTTTTTTAAAGTAATACTGGTTTTTTTCTGATTTGATTTTTTTATATCAGGTGAAAAGTGGTATATAAGTATTATATTGCTGCTAAAATCAAGGGAAATTAAAATTAGAAAAATCATTTAAATAACACTAAAGGCATGATTCAAATACACAAAAGCAAGAAGTTCAAATTTAATACTGCCTCTTCCTGCTTAACCCATCTCTTGTGTTAATGTATTGCACATTTGAAGATGGCAATGAATTGTGGATGGAATGAGCATCTTGAACGTCCCTACTCCCATTGATTTAGTTTAGATCAGACCTTTTATTCTTATCTACAAACTTTACATATATTATATAAACGAACTGTAGTAGATTTTGAGCGAAAGTGTTAGTTTATAGTTACTGGGTAGTTACAGGAAATTAAAATGTTATAAGAACAGGTCACATACATGAACTTACACTTATATGTTACCTGTGTTATTACCAGCAGAAAAATAGTTAGCAACCAATTAGAATAGTTTTGAAAACAGCTAATTTCAGTTCTTTTAAAGACAATTTAAAATTTCTTTCATATGTTTGATGTAAAGTATTAGTATAGAATGAGTGAAATCCTGGCCCCACTGAAGTCAGTGGAGTTTTGCCATTGATTTCAATGGGGCCAATATTTCACCCATGATCTGTTTCTGTAATACAGTGTTTTGAAAAGATTTGAAGCCAATGGTTAATTCAGAAAGACTTAGGTATGTGTAAGTAGGGTTGCCAACTTTCTGACTGAACAAAACCAAAAACCCTTGCCCTGCTCATTCTCCAAGGCCCCACCCCGCTCACTCCATCCCCCCCCCCCCGCATCGCTCACACTCCCCCACCCTCACTCACGTTCTCATTTTCACCTGGGGAGGGCTGGGGAGAGCGTCCCTTTTCGACCAGGTGGCTGGTTGAAAACTGGGCACCTGGCAACCCTAAATCAGAGAACTGGGACAGTATAGGGTAGTGGGTTGTTTAAAATTCTTTAAGTATCTAAAGAAACCCAGCAAAAGAAGCAACTTTCAGTTTCTGAGCATAGGATTTGATCCATAACTGCCTGTTGTGACCATTGTCCACTCCCCTTATTATGTTTGTCTTCCTCACCTCTTGTGTCATGTCTGAAATTCAGACTGTAAACTGTCTCAGGCAGGGACGAAGTCTCATGTGAAGTGCCTTGCACACTTTGGCACGCTATAAAACAAATAAAAAATTATTCGTGTTTTAAAACTAACAGGATTGAACTGAAAGAATTTTAAATAGGAGTTGCAGATACTTATCACCTCTCAAGATCAGGCCCTGGATCATTTGTGTTTTTATTACGCTCATTTAAACGTACAATTCCTATTTTAAGATTCCATTTGCATATCTTTGGTAGTTTTCCAATGTTACATCCCATGAAGCCAGTTTGGAAAATCCTTTGCACCCACAAAGCTACATATTCAAAGTTCCCAGTAGAAATACAATGCTGAGTCTAAAGAAAGTGTTTTTCAAATAATTTAAACCCTGATCCAGTAACCCATTTACTCAGATCAGCAGTCCCACTGAAGTAAGTGGGATTACTTGCATGACTGAGGTTTTAATTGCATATATATTTGGGCAGAATCAGGTCCTTAGAAAGAATGCAAAGCAAAATAACCACAAACATTATGTTAGCTGATATAATGAGATGTTTTAAAATATATATTTAAAAGGAACAATTATGTATACATCTCCATGTCAAAGTCCAAAGCAATTTTTTCAAGGGTGTTTAAAAAATCAGAGCAATAAGGTAAATGCTCCAACATTTTAATGATCATGCTGATTCTTCCAGTAATACAAATGCTAACACCTCTTCATTTCATTTAAAAACTCTCTCAAAGTTATACACATACTGTATATATACACATTATTCACATATATATAAAGCATTCTATAATGCTTCAGTAACTTTTTAGTCATATATTAAGTTCAAAGCCTTGTCTGTACTATTTTTCTGCTGCACTGCAATATTTTTATAGTCCTTAAATGTTATTTTGTGACAGAATTTTAAAAATGCCCCTAAGTAGTACATAAAAATAACTAATGTTTTGATTTCATATTTAAAATATGCACTTTATGCAGAAGATATATTTGATCACAGATTTCTTAAATTAAGAGACCATATGATGTGGTAATTTTCTTAACCTTCCTTTTAAAAAACGCAGAATTATCTCCCAAAACGTGTTCTGTACAATATTCTGTGAGTGTTGCCAATTAGGTGTTAATATTAAATTAATATTAGATATTTCAAAAATAAAATGTCAGATAAGTGTGAAGACTTTTGTTATTGATCAAATACATCGTCTGCATAAAAATGCATTTTCTGTAATTTGCTAATATAACTAAATATTGATCACACAATAATAACCTCATACTTCTAATTCCAAAAGGGACAAAAATAAGGATTTTTTAAACTACTGCTATAGCCTTCAAACATAGTGGTGAATATTTATTTTATGCTTGTAGGTTCTACATATGCACATGGTTCTAGCCAATATCATATACAAGCTAAAATACATATTTTGGAACCTAGCAATTTATAGCATTCAGTGTAAAGCAAGCAGTATTGTAAGACTGTGCCTACTCATTCATTAGCTCCTGTTTCCTATGGCTCAAAATAATAGCATATAAACCCATTTGTTTTTATTTAAAACTCTATCCTCTGTTGCTAAAATACTAATTGCTTACACAATTGCTCAAATCACTCCTAAAAACAACTTTATGTGGAGTTTGCTTAATAAGGACAAAGGCCTTGGTTAGCTGTCTGTGTAGAATATGTATCTTAAAACATTTTTTTTTTTGGTTTGCCTACAAATATTTCCACAAAACAGCTATGTTTAGCTGCACTTCTGATTTAGTTTTACAGCACCTATTCAACACACTTCCAGCATGTATTCAGCACAAAGACAAAACAGGCTTATACAGTATCTTGCTCTGCTTGGCCTCCAGCCTTGCCACCTGAAAGCCAACTATCCTTTTCATCTGAAACAAAACGAAACTTTTAAAAAATGTCCTGTCCATGAATCAGTATAAAATTCCCTCTCTTTGGGGCAGCTCTGCCAGCACTCTGGGGAGTGTCTACATGTGACGGGAACACGTTTACTTCCTTTCTGGCAACATTCAGGTAAATCGCAGTGCAGCCAAAAACGCGAAGGAAATCCTGACGGCGATGGCACGACACCCTGGCACTGCCTGCTCATTTACTTCCTGTTTGCTTCAATCCCGCTCAGCAGAGCAATGTTGACTCCTAAATCAACCAATATACAACAGCTTGTTTCCCCCCTTCTCCAGGGCAGCCGGGCATTTGCAATCTGCACTCAGAGGGCCTCCCCGAGGCGATTTAGGTGACCCCGGAACGCCCAGGTCCGTTCGGAGGTGCTCCGCAGACCTCTCCCCACGTGGCCCGGGGCAGGGGTTGCTGGAGCCATGGCACAGGGCTCGGGTGGGTGGGACACGTTGTTTGCGGGTTTCCGAAGGGTCCTTTCTGAGCGACGTGGGGCCGGAGCCAGAACTGATGCTGCTGGGCCGCTCGGAGGCCTGGGGGCAGCCGCAGCGGGCTGGGTTCAGGCAGCCTCAGGCCTGCAGCGCAGCCCAGCTCCAGCCTCACGCATCCCGCAGCTCCGCCCAGCCTCGGGGGCCTTAAGCCCTGGCAGGTCTGCGAGAACCTGGCCCTCAAGCCCCAGCCGCTGCGGCCCTGCGCCTGCTGGCAGCGCCGCCCGCGCGGCCGGGGCGTGGGGAGGTTGTGGCTCGCGTTGCACCTCCCGCCTGCAGCGTTTGGGAGAGGGGCAGTGGGTGGATTTCCCTGAACGGCTGGGTTATTTCCGTGACCCCCAGTCCGCTCTTACAAACACCAGCCGAGCCACCCCTGCCCCTAGTGCGTGGCGGGGCATTGCCTAGAGGGCATCAAATGCAAGCAAAAGAGTCAACTTACTTGGGTCCACACGCTCTGGCCCCTGGTGGCATTTACGCTGCAATGTTAGGACAGCAAGCGGAAAGCACAGCGCCTAAGGCTGATGCCTCCCCCCACCAGAAACAGGGCTCGGGGACATCTCGTCCCCCCGGGGCTGCAGGACGGAAAGTCGCAGGAGAAAGGCACGGACAATGCAGCCAAAGGAGCCAGCCCCTTCTCTCCCTTCCCCGTGAGAAAGTCTGGGGCAGCTCAACTCCGCAGCATTGTTTTCTTCACTCCATTTTTTTTTTTATTTGTAAGAAAACGCCAAAAATGTGAATATAATTTCTACAGTGGGGGGTGAACATTCCTACTGAGCTGTAGGGTTATTCCTGTTAGGTCCCCCATTCCCTCCCTAGGTACGGCAGAGGGATTTCTAGTCTCACAGCGCTCCCTAGTGGACAACAGCCGCACCCATGACTCGCTTCCCTCCTCCCGTCCCCTATTACAGCTTTCAATATAACCCCCTCCCCACCCCTTCCCCCCCCCCAAAAAAGAAGTATCAACAACCTACAGGACACAAATGACCTTAGAACGCCCCTGTCCATAATCTGCATATTCATTCCTCTCTACCTTCCCTCCAATAAAAAGAAAGGATCTCCATAAACTCAATCCCCAGGACCCAGTTCCAGTGCAATTTTTTTGTCCTGGATCCTCTTTTAAACCCACTCCACACTGCTTCTCTGGCTATTACATGCTAATTTAATTTTACTATGGACGATATTTTCAGCATTTGCTGAGGACAGTAAATTTTGTAGTTTATGTTATTTCACTTTTTATGACTTTTTAACACTTAATAAAATTTTATTAGAGCACTTTTGTGTTTACAAGGCCACAAAACTCTTGGCAGGTTGTCAGAAGTCCTTTTTATTATGATCCTACTGATATACTGCGAGTAATGAAATAATCATGTCCAGAAATGTATCAAAGGCCAGAGGGATTATCCAGTTTAATAGCTCTACAGATGCGCTGTGAAGGATATGGACATGCAACCCGTCGACAGGCTGAAAAGCTTAGTGGAAGGAGGAGGCAGACTGGTTAATTCCTTTACCATTTCAAGCTAGTTCTGTTGCTATCCTAAAGGCTAGATGCTTGGTCATGTGACTGCTGGCTGTTTCAATAAAAATGAATTTATTCTGTTGCAATATGCTATTTTCTTTTTATTCTTCTTAGGTGTGCATTTAATGCTGAAGTGCTTGCAACCTTCAGTAAAACACCGTTTATTGAAAAATAGACTTTTATAGCACCATTTGGCAGCTACCAGTGACTTTTGATCTGCTCCAGCAGCAAAAGGAGAGAGACTATATTGGTGAGATCAAATACAGAACAAGGTGTATTGCAGTATTCTCTGAAGCAATTGGTTTTTGTTTTTGAAAGGGTACAGTTACTGGGGAACTCTGATTGTGTATATGCCTGAGTTCCACAATGGTCTGTTTTTCTGCAGTGCTCTCTGTGCTATAGCCTGAGATACTGCAGCTGTTTTTAAGGTCATTTCCTTTTATTTTAAATAATTGTTCATTTAACATATGTCGTTAAACTCATTCTTGCGTCAAAAGGAGGCGATTATACTTCCTGACCCTGAAAGCAAGGTGGGTGGTTTTGTTTTATAATTAAATTTGCTGTGTTCAATTTCATATTTTTCTTTCTCTGCTGTTTCCTAAAGAGCATGCCAAAAAAGATAAAAGAGACCGATGATACAAGATACACTTTTTAAATGCCAGCGTTGTCTCGCTAACGCACACAGTTCTAAAGTTTTAGCTTCAGAGGGACACCAGCAAGGGGCTGTCCATCATTTTAAAAATAATTGTTTTATTCACTGTGGTTTAAAATAGCCCCTTGAAACCTAGAACTAAAATATATTTCCATATTACAATGTACAGTGCTTGTTTTGCCTCTAACACATACACTTGTGTGATACTGCAAGGGTGCCCATGATTCTGCCAAAAGGGATGTTTTAAAAGAAAAATGCAGAAGTTAATTTGGGTTTAAAGCATATTGTAAGAATTTACATGTACTTTGCAAAAGACATAAGGAGTGGGAAATTGATCAAACTGTTTATCTTCCAAATCAGCACAATCTTAAGAACAAAGGACTTTCCTGCCCCAATAACAGTGGGACACATTCTGATACCTTTGTTCATATTGAGTGGCACCTAACCCCTGGGGCAGTGCCTTTGAAATCAGTGGGGCTTCTGAAGGAGTTACGGTACTACTCAGTGTTAGGAAGAGCATCAGAATCTGGCCCAGTGTAAGTAAAACAAATCCTTTAATACAGATTTGCTTGAAGACAGACGTTCAGTTATCCCAGAACAATATCATCAACTGTAAATCATATGTTTACAGGTCCAAGGTCAAATTAAACTTTTTAAACCTTTAATAACCATCAAATTGGAAATCTGTAGAATGAAATGATGTGCAGAAAGGCATGATGGACTGGAAATAGTTAATCTTGCAAGAGAAGAGTTTTCACTCACTGAGAGAGAGAGAGACTCGTTGAGTGTAAATATGAAAACTAGCTACAAATTATTTAACCAATGAAGCATCTAACTAATTTAACACTTCCCTAGTGCCTTGGATTTTCTTCTGAAACCCCCAGAGAGGACTGAGGAAGCAAGTGTGGAGTCCCACTGCCAGAGAGAGTGAAGAAATGGAGGGTAAGCGATACAGTGACTGTGTGGCTGGAGTGGTGCTCAGGTGAGGGTAAAATGGGTGAGCAGAACTTTGAAGTGCTGATTTCATTGCTATAGCTGGAAAGGGGTAACTTCAGCAGAAAAACTCCCAGACAGCAGCATGACGGTTGAACCTCCAGAAAGCTTTGTACTCTGCTGGGACAAATACCAGTCTAATGAATGGTCTCTCACCACCACTATCAGTGTCAATGCTGGTAAAGTCAGTTCAGCACGATATTCTGCACATGAACCCCCCATTGATGTCAGTGGTAGTGCCCTGCACTGAGTGAATGGAGAACGTGCTGCAGAAGACATCTGCAGTGTAGGTCTGAGACAATATTTGTTGCTTTACATTTTGCAAGCTGTTAGCCTGGTGTATATTCTTGGCCACTATATGTGAATATATTTCCACATTTTTGACTCTACAGTTGTTGTTTTTTTAATAGAGCAGGAAATCCTGGTCCCACTGAACTCAGGATAAAACTGCAAACTCTACGCCCATAGTACATCATGGGGACAATTGGCATTAGGGTGGTCATAGAGTGATACATATTAATAACTATAATGGGCCAATTTTTGGTCCCACAGAAGACGTGGAGAGGTTTGCCATTGACTTGCAATTATTAGTTACAATTGTTAATATGCATTTCTTTAACATTATCAAGGTGTCATAATATCAACCGACATTATTCCTTACTGTATTATGCTATGGACTGATGTAATGGACTAAATAATAATTGAGTGTGTGTGTATACATGTTTATATATATATATATATACACACACACACGTTACACCATGTCTGCTTCTTTTTTAAACAACTGCAAAAACCATAAGCAAAGAAAATCAATCCAGAAACCTCTGATTAAAGAAGATAACACAGTTTACAAGAATTGCTTGGGATTTAGCCACAAAACTCCTATTGATTGAAATGTGAATTGTGTGGCTAAATCACAACTGGCTCTTTGAAAATGCAGAATGTGGGAATGATGATAAACCCACAACACCAATTACATAGATATGCTGGAGACAGATACACTAGGGCAAAAATTCATGCAAATGATGATAATATGCACTAAAAATGTTATAACAAGGTAGTGGAAGTTCTAGCTGTGTAATTTAATGTGCATATGCCACTGAACATTGTGCTAGCTGCATGCCAGTTGCTAAAGAACCCTTACAGGGTGTATCATATAAAGGTTTTCCTGAGAGGAAAGTGAGATAAGAAAAACTGGGTGGAAAACTAGCTATTGACTGTTTAATCAGTGGAGCATCTATCTAACATAATACTTCCCTAGTTCCTTGGATTTTCTTCTGTACCCCCAGTTTGGAGGGGAGGGTGGAAGCAAACCCCAGGCTCATCTGATGGGTGGACCTAGTTTGAAGACTCAGTTATCCCTCTGAGATAGCTGACAGCAGCTCAGGCTATGGGTTTGAACGCAGAGGGCAGAAAGGGAGAGCATCTCTAATTCTCAAAAGAGGAGTTGGGATTTATCTCTGGGCTTAGGCACATGGTTATCAACTATAATTTGACATAGCTTGAGTTGAGTATTTCTGTATATACTTAAGACAAGTGGTCGTTCTCAGATCAGTTTCTCTCGTTAATTACTTCAAGCCTGGTCCCATGTTTCTTTCCTATATTTGTACTATACATAGCCCATTACTTGTTTTCAACAAAAAGGTATTGTCCATTTACGGTCTGTTTCTTGCTACCTTGTGGAGGCTACTCTTTTTATGGTAACAGTAGTAGCAGATAAAGGGATGAAGTAGTAGATAAAGTAGTGGATACAGAATCTAATAAGACCACCTTGGAAGCACACTACTCAGAATCATTAGAGGGGTCCAGAGAGGCAATCCTTTGCTCCAGAAAATGAAAACAATTACAGCAAAATAAGGGTAATTTGAGAACTTTATTCTACCTTATATTGAGAAGTTCTACCAAATTGTATTGTTCAGACAGCTGATCAGGTAGGAATTCGGGACTGCCATAATACTTTATTCCCACACACACACACACTAACCCCCATGCTCACAGAGTCCTGTGTGAAAAGTCAATGCACATGCCTAATAAGTACAGATGAAGGGCAATATCAGAACTGCTGTGAAGTCCTTTCATTTATGACAGCTCCTGGGAGAACAAAGGAACAGTATCAGTGCAGGAACTCGCTGTATTATTAAGGCAAAGTGTCCATTGGCTGAAGAGAAAGCGATCACAAAGGAACAATGCTATTTAAGGTAATTAACATAACCCCCATTACCATAATATGTAAGCACCTCCCAATCTTTAACACACAAGCCCTGTGAGACAGATAAGTCCTATTACTCTCATTTTCAGAGGGAAAACTGGGGCACTGAGTGCCAGATTCCATTGAAATCAATGGCACTTAGGCACTGAGCGGCTTTTGAAAATCCCACTAGGAGTCTCTCCGCTTCTTTAGATACCTAAATACCTATAATAATCTGGCCCAGAGAGACTAAGTGACTTGTCTAAGTATGCAGTGTAGTTGTAGCTATGTCGGCCCCAGGATATTAGAGAGACAAGGTGGGACTTGTCAAAGGTCACATGAGAAGTATATGGTGGATTAGGAAATTGAACCCAGATCCCAGGCTAGTCTCCTAACCACTAGACCATCCCTTCTCCCGATGTGATGCAAGGGGTGCCATCTTCTATAGCAAGCTATCATTACCATTGTTGCCAAATTTAGCAATTTTGTCACTAGATTTAGCAACTTGTTGATTTCCCTAATGCGGAAATAAGTGTCAAAGCGACCAATGACAAATCTAGCAAGTAGCAACTTTCACTGCCAATTACAGTGATATTTAGAGAAAGAAATTGCCAATTTGCATAGTCACAAAATCATTCACAAGCAGCTCAATAGTGTTAATAAAATCCATTTCATGTTCTTCTTACTAGATTCTGTTGCACACCAAGTCAATGTCATTACGTCTCACTTGGCATGTCCTCGGAAGGAAGTGCAGTCGGGGTTTCTTGGGCTGAAAGTCTGTGAATGAGGAGAGGGGTTTGACTAGAGCTTCTGGTGGCAGAATAAATGCTTAGCACGAAACTGGGGCTCATCTTAGATTCTTTGGTGGCAGGGAGGAAGGAGGTGAAAAGCCAGATATAGGGGGAAGGGGAGGCCGGACAAGAGGAAGATACAACTGCCCCTAGGGGGAAAAGTTTTGATCTTCTGCTTAGTAAAAACCATTAGTGACCAGGGCAGGTGCCACTCCCTGGGCGAGGGTAATGCAGGAAAAACCATTTGTCAACAGATCTTTGAGCCTTTGGCCACTGAAACGTTAACTGATCAAAATCCCTCTCCAAGGAGTGGGAACCTGGCTTGTCTAGCTGGACGATTCCTTGGGACTTTGCTGAACCTGCCCCCATGACTAACTTCTGCCCTCACCTTGCCCAGGCAAGAGGACACTCCTGGGGGGCGTCCAGATTCCTTTAGTCCCTGTGAGCTGTCTCAGGCAGAGTGAACCTGCCTCCCCCGGAGCAGATGTTGCCATGAGAAAAGCCTCCTGTGGAACTTGTTCCATGCTGCCCAAGAGGGGCAGTTTGGTCTCTCCAGACATAGAAAAGGTTATTCTTTGTGCCAATCAAATCCCACCTCATGGTCAGCCCTAAATCCTAGAGCTCAGCTCCCAGCCAGCAAAATCCCCAAACTGCACCTGGGATCACTAGGGGCTTTGCTGCAATCACTGGCTCTGAATTCTCTGAACTTCACTTCAATTCTTTCCATCGGCCTGCGAATGCATTCTGTCTGCCTGGGGTTTAGTCTCCCCCTGATTCTGGGCTCTCGCTTTCACTAACTTATCAGCTCAAGATAACAGAGGGTAGGTGTAACGAGGCTGGTTCTGGTGGGACCCAACTGAGAGTGCCAATTCAGGACAAATTGCTTCAAGCAGGGCAGTTACAGCCCAAGGCTGGGGTTTCTGTGTGCACCAAGGCAAACCAAGCCAGCCAAACAGAGAAGACTTTGGTTTTACTCCACTGGCTAACCACAAGTCACACAAGCAATTCCCTTAGACACTCCAGTTTCCCAGTATCACCACCAGTGCCGCTTGTTATGGGGACAAATGGTTATGAAAACCAATACCCCAGTAAAAGAAAAAAGGTTCTCTCGATCCCAAAGGACCAAGCCCCAGACCCAGGTCAATATACAAATCAGATCTTACCCACAAATCACGCTGTTGCCAATCCTTTAGAATCTAAAATTTAAAGGTTTATTCATAAAAGGAAAGAAATATAGAGAGTTAGAATTGGGTAAATGGAATCAATTACATACAGTCATGGCAAAGTTCTTGGTTCAGGCTTGCAGCAGGGATAGAAAAAACTGCAGGTTCAAATCAAGTCTCTGGAGAACATCCACAGCTGGGATGGGTCTTTCAGTCCTTGGTTCAAAGCTTCAGTGTAGCCAAGTTCCTCCAGAGGTATGAAGCAGGATTGAAGACCAGATGGAGGAGCTGCAGCAGCTTTTTATATTCTCTTGCCATGTAGTCTTTCTTTCTTTATTCCAGACAGAAGCTGTCTATCACATGGTCTGGAAAAACCTCCGAGTTCTGTCCATAGGCATGTCCCTGCATACCTTGCTGAGTCCCAAGGCATGTCTGCCTTCTCTCAATGGGTCAATTATATGGCTGATGGTCCTTAATGGGCCATCAAGCAGGCTAGACAGAGCTGACACCAACTTGTCTGGGATGTCACCCAGAAGCATAGCATAAGTTTGAACTACAGACAGTATAGAGCCAATATTCATAACTTCAACTATAAAAATGATACACATATACAGATAGCATAATCATAACCATAATTTTGTCTTAGACACCTCATTTGACCCCCTTTATATAAGATTTGGTGCCACTAAAAGACCTTGGTTGCAACAATGATCTATATGGTCCCAGTTCAAGTCAATAACATCACAGTAGGGGGGACTGATGCAAGGAATCAAATGCTGCTTTGCAGGGTCACTATTTCTATGACAC